CTCTGGGCCAAAATGGAGAAAGTGATATCTATTTCAAAAGGCTGTTACAGATAAAGGGAATGAGATGATGAATTTTTATACACCGAATACAGACTTTAACACAAAGTATGAGCCTAACACATTTCTTTTTCTCTCTCCTTTCAGTACACACAGTATTTGCAACAAAGCTAAATTATTTTGGGAGCATCTCTCCAGCGAGCAGGCACTAACACTTAAAGCTACACCCAGGGAAATGTTTTCTCTAGCTGATCCACATCAATACCAGAATTTATGGAACTAGACTGGACAACAGGGATGTTCTTGCTATTTGTTAAACTGTCTCATGTGTTATATTTTAATGAACACAGCAGAATAAAAACTAAACAATTAACTGTATACTTCAAAATAGCTAGTAGAAAGAATTTTAAATGTCCCCAACACAAACCTAGACGCACAGACTGTCACAGGTTTACCTGTGGCCAAGGACTGTTAATCCTGTATCTTCTCATGAGATCCTAAATTTCCTGGTCATGGAGATTTGTAGTGTGACCCCAATGGAGAGCTTTAGATGTGTGTGTGACATCAAATCTGTTCATAACTCCTCCTAGGCTTACAAACAGAGTGAATATCCTCGGACCTAGTATCTTATTATCAAGTGTATGGTTCACATATAAAGAAGAGTTTAATGGACAGAGACTTCTACCCAACATAATGGGTAACTTAATTCATGAGGCTGAAAATCTCCATATGTGGAGAGTTTATTTATTTTTTATTTTTTGCAGTGCTGGGGGCTTAAACCAGGGCCTTGTGCTTATGGTAGGCAAGCATTCTACCACTTAGTACACCCCAAGTCTCAGTTTTTAAAATTATTGATTTACTTCTGAAAATTCTTTGTTAAAATTCCCAGTTTTAGATACATTGTGACAATATTTCATTCATATCCAGCAACCACTATATCAGAAAGCCACCAGGAACTAGGATGTGAGCCAAAAGAAGAGGTCACCTGCCCAGCTCAGGCAACTGCCATGAAGGCGGTGACTGCAGCCACGACTGTCCAGGCCATGGAGGAACCTGGCCTTAAATCAGAAGCTTGTCCTTCTACGAAACCCATCGGGCCCTGACATTGCTTCTCCTTCCCAACTGCAGCAGCTCGGAGAGGCGGGGTCTGGCAAGGGAGAGCTGGAGGATACAGAGAAAGGTGGGTGGTGGGGTGGCTGACCGCGGCCAGGAGCGACAGCTACAGAAGCCGGAGGAAGGAAGGGCAGAAAGTCAACACCAGGCAGACGTCCCAGGTGCCACACCCCGAAATGGGTATGGGAATGCCTGGTTCTAGTCTCTGCTCTTCCATAACTGGAGGCTTTTGTCAACCTACATAACTGCTCTGGGCCTCTGTTTCCTCTTTCTCATTTGTAGAAATGGACAACAGTTATGGTGGATGGAGGAGGGATGGGGAGAGGATGGTTAGTGGGCACAGGGGTGCAGCTAGACAGGAGGAGTAACTTTTTTCGGGGGGGTGGGTCCTGGGGATTGAATTCAGGGCACTTGATCACTGAGCCACATTCTAGCCCTAGTTTTTATTTTATTGAGAGACAGGGTCTCACTAAGTTGTAGTACCTCGCTTTTGCTGAGGCTGGCTTTGAACTTGCCATCCTCCTGCCTCAGCCTCCAGAGCCTCTGGGATTATAGGCATGCACATCAGGAGGAATAACTTCCAATGTTCTACAGCACAGCAGAATAAAAACTAAACAATTAACCGTATACTTCAAAATAGCTAGTAGAAAGAATTTTAAATGTCCCCAACACAATTAAGAGATATTTATCTGATGTGGTAGATATGCTGATTACCTTGATCTATTATATACTCTACACATGTACTGAAATATCACACCATACCCTATAAATATGTACAATTACAATACACTAATTAAAAATAAAAATATATTTAAAATATGGAATGAAGGTGGAAAGAGTTAATACACCTCTGAGACCCAAGTGCTCATTAAAATACATGTGATATTCAGAATGATTGAGGGATACACATAATCAGTTTTTACAACATTCTAGTCAACAGTGGTTACAATTAGTAGAAGTGGGCTGGGGATGTGGCTTAAGCGGTAGCGCGCTCGCTTGGAATGCGTGCGGCCCGGGTTCGATCCTCAGCACCATATACAGACAAAGATGTTGTGTCCGCCAAAAACTGAAAAATAAATATCAAAAGTTCTCTCTCTCTCTCTCTCTCTCTCTCTCTCTCTCTCTCTCTCTCCCCCCTCTCTCTTTAAAAAAAAAAAAAGAAAAAACAAAGTACATGTATGAAGAGATGAATTGGTGTGAACATACATTATATACAAACAGAGATATGAAAAATTGTGCTCTGAATTGTAATGTATTCCACTGTCATGTATTTAAAAAATAAAATCAATTTAAAAATATACTTGTTCCCATTAACTAGGTTTAAAAAAAAAAAACCCAATTAGTAGAAGTGGGTGTTTGAGAGGTGAATTACCACTTAGTCCTGATGTTCTCTGATGGAGAACATCTCTGCCCTCCTAAATGTCAGACCTTAGGAACTTAAAGGCTTTCTTCCTGCAAAAACCAACAGTGCTATTTAGGCCCACAGTCCAGCAAGCCTTTTCTCTGTTCTCTGGGTCATTCTTTCAAATGCTCTGAAGAAAGACCAGCTTCTCTGAGGGGTTTCAAACCCCTTCTCATCAATCTCCCAATTCTCTCCCCGCTCAGTGGTGTTTTAGTAACCCAGAGTCTTGTCAACTGCGCGGCTGCTGAGACCACCAATCCAAGGGTGCCATCTACAGAACACAGAGGTGTGAACCCAGGCTGCCAGTGTGCAGCTGTACCTGGAGCCACTGCGTTTCGAGGACTCTCTGGACCTGAAAATAGTGAACTGGGCTCAAGGGTTCCCTTACAGCCCTGATAATGGAGGAGTCTAGGATTCATTCATTCATTCAAGAAACATTCATGGTCTATGGGATACCAATAAGGCACCCCTGGAATTATAACCCCACTGGGTGCCATCACCACCACCTGACTCTATCCCAAGCCTCTCACTGCTACTGCTTGGGTCCAGGACTTTGTCACCTGGAGACTGGAGTAGTTCCCTTGCTGGTGGCACCCTGCCTTCCTCTCTCCAGCTCACCCCCCTCACACTACTGGTGTCATCTTCCTCAACACAAAATGTCACCCCCTTACCCTTCAAAGTGCTGGACATGGTGGCATGCACCTGTAGTCCCAGGTATTCAGGGGCTGAGGCAGGAAAATCACAAGTTTGAGGACAGCCTCAGCAACTTAGCAAGACTGTCTCAAAAGAAAAAAAAGGGGGGGGGCGGGATGTAGCTCAGTGATTAAAGGGCCCCTGGGTCAGTCCCTAGCACTAAAAAAAAAAAAAAAAAAAAAAAAAAGACACCTATAAATTTCATGGTAAAGTTCAAAGCCCCTGACAGGATGCCCTTAGCATGACATGTCTGGAGCCTGGCGTACACGCAGAGACCTTTTTACCTTACACCCCACACGACATGCTGGCCACCGCCACTTGTGCACAGGTCTCCTCCCAGAAATTTCTTTTTCTTTTGCTCACCAGGAAAATGTCCACAGACCCTCAGTCCAACTGGACCTTTGGGAATGCCTCGTTGTTCCCTGGTGTGGACTCATCATACAGATCACTGGCCACACTGCATTCCTTCTTTTTATCTGGAGATCTTTCTCCCCTGGGACTTCAGACCTCTTTAGGACCGGTGGGGAGTGCATCTGTCTTCATCTCTGGCACCCAGAGCAAGGCCCTACCTGGTGGGTGCCCAAAGAGTTCCTGGGAGTACCTGACCGAGTGAGCAGGCACTAGATACTCAGAGGGAAAATTCCTTCTTGCAGTTTTCCCCCTCATTTCACCTCTGAAGTTTCCCAGATATTTGAAAATAAACAGTGAAAAAATCACTTCCTTGCTATGTCAGAATCTTCCCCAGATCTCAACTGTTGGTTTGTTTTTTAGTGTTATATAACTGAATGCTGATGCAGTCTGAAAGGAATCTTGTTATATAATTCATCCTATTCTCTGAAGCTCACTTTTCCTTTTTAAAAGCCTTTAGCAGGGTGGCAGGGGATCTGAGCACCAAAGGCCTGTGTCACTGGATTGTCCCTCTCCCAACCTCCCTGAGGCCTTTTCAGGATTCACCTGCCTGAAGCCGCCCAGGGAGGCCTTCCTGGACCTGGGTGGCAGTTGTCCAGCCAGACCTGGGGGCTCCAGGGAGGAGGGGGCTGCCTTTGGCGTCCTTCTCCAGCCGGGAGCTGCTACGACCCGCTCATCAGCTCTGCTGGAGCGAAGACTGCCAAGCCAGAGCGCTGGTCGGTATTGTTTTTCTAGAACAGCGGGGCTGTTATTACAAGTGTTCTGGAAGGGAGAATAAGGAAGCTAAAAAGAGATTCCACAGCATCTTAAAAATAGCCAGTAATTGGGAATTGACTGACCAGCCAGGCAAAGATCCGGATGCGATGGACTCGGCAGGGCGGTTTTGAAGCACTGTTTGGCCGACTGTCCACCCACTTAGCACCTCCTCCCACAGATGGCCAGGGTGGATCCCTTGAGGAAAGGCCAGACTGCTGGCCAGTTCCCACCTGGGCTGCAAGGACCCTGCGCTTTGAAGGCGGGCACTCCAGCCCCAGAGGGAAAGCAAGTGCGCTCCAGGGAGAAAAGCCAGGGAGGGTCTGGGCCAAGGGATGTCTGTCTATCCATAAGACTGCTCCCAGCAAGACCTCCCCAAACTGAAGCCAGACCTGCACCCAGAGAGGCAGCAGAGTGTTAGGGAAAGACCAAGAGCCCCAGGGGGGCCTCGGTGGGGACGCGCGGGGAGCAGGCGGGCAGAGGCGTCGCGCCAGCGAGGGAGGCTGCCAGGGACGCGGCGACGGAAGCCCCGGTGCGGGGAGGCACACTGGGAGGGCGGGGCAGGCGCCGAGGCCTGCGGGCAGGGGATGGCGGGCCAGGCCGGTGCACCGGTGCGGCCGGCTCCCACACTCACCGCGCTGCGGGCGCCCGCGGCGGGTCGGGGCCTGGCGGCGCCGCGCGGGACGGGCTCCTGGGGACCCCAGGCCGCCGACTCGGCCAGCAGCTGGTCCAGCAGGCGCAGGGTCTCCTCCCGGCCGTCGGGGGTGGCCGCGGGGCCGGGGTCGAGGCCGGCCGCCTCCTGCGCCGCCGTCGCGCCTGCCCCCAGGGCCTCGGCCGCTGTCGCCGTCGCCGCCCCGCCCTCCGAGGCTGCCTGGCCTGGCCGAGCCGGGTGACTGTCGGGGCTGCGCTGCCGCCTCAGGGTCCGGCCGCTCCTGCTGCTGCCGCTGCCCATGGCGCGCCAGCCGCCGGCCCCGAGCGCGAGCAGGCCCCGCGCGGGGGCGCGGCCTGGAGGGGGAGCGCGGCGGGGGCGCGGGGGAGGGACGCGGGCCGGGGAGTGCCCGCGACCAGCGGGGAGAGGCTGGGACTGCGAGGCCAGCGCGGCCAGGGCACTTGAGAGGGGCGCGTCCCGAGGGCTGGAGGAGAACCGGGCCAGACGGGGAAGCCGCGCGGCCGCGGGGCGAGGACACGGTGGCGGGGAGCGGACACGGGGGCGAGGACACCAGGGTAGGGCGCAAGCTTGGGTGGGGGGCGAGGCTTGGGTGGGGGGCGAGGACACGGGGGGGGGGTGCGAGAACACTGGAGGGGGCGAGGACACAGGGGGATGGGGACATTGGAGGGGGGTGAGGACATAGGGTGGGGGGCGGGCATGGGTGAGGGGGCAAGGACTGGGGGTCCGGCATTGGGGGGGCGAGAATGGGGGGTTGGTAAAATCGGAGCGGGGCGGGGACACCGGGGGAGGGTGGGCAAGGGTAGGGGATGAGGTCACGGTGTGGGGCACGGGCATGGGCTGGCGAGAATACAGGAGGGGGTCGAGGACACGGGGGGGGGGTGACATTGGAAGGGGTGAGGACACGGGCATGGGTGGGGGCCGAGGACACTGGGTCCGGGCGAGGACACGGTTGGGGGTGGCAGGGACATTGGAATGGGGCAAGTACACTGGAGGGTGACTAGGACACCCGGGGTGGGCATAGGTGGGGGCGAGGACACTGGGGGGGGTAGATGTGGAAGAAGGACGGGGAAACTGGGGCAGGACACCGAGGTGGGAAATGCAGACATTGGGGTGTGGGGTGAGGACACCAGGAGAGCGAGGACCCCGAGGTGGGGAGTGCGGACTCTGGGGTGGGGGTAAGGACACTGCACTCCCCATGCAGGGGAGGCGGGACAGGGACCCTGGGGCCGGGTGGCCGCTGCGGGCGCGCCCTGGGCCTGCCAGGCCTCCTCCATCCCCCTCCCCTCCCCTCCCTCATCTGGCGCCCAGCCCCCTGCCGGTTGGTCCACCCGCGGGCTGGCCCTCCCGCACGCTCCCGTTGTCGGGTCCTGCCTCCTGGAAGAACTGAAAACCCTCAGCTCCACAGCCTTCGGGGCGACCCGACTGGGTTCGCTGGTCCGTCGGAGCACACAGACAGGCCTGCGCCAGGTGCTGGTGGAGCGGGGAGGTGACTTGACCCCGCCCCGCTGCAGCTTAGAGGAGGGGGGAGCTACCTCACCCCTGGGAGTCTCAGATTCCTCACACCTTAAATTGGGGAGCCCGGCGGGGCGGTGGAAATATCCCAGAGGAGTGAGTAAAATGAGGAATTCTCAAGGCCTCGAGCCCCGCCCCGTCGCCCAGACAGACCTAAGCAGGACAGCGGGAAGGGGAGTGACCCTAAGGACCATGGCGCTCCTGAATGCCCAGTCAGATCTAAACTCCCCACATATTAATCACTTTGGGGAGAGAAAAAAATTTTTAAACGAGACAGAAAAAGCAGCCCCCACCCCCCTACATACACAAAGGAAATACCAGCCATCTTTACCGTTGGTTGTTCCTATATTTTACTTGGTGGTGCTTATCTCCTTCTGTTCCCACTTCCCCTTAAACCCCAACTTTTCCAAGACAGGGCAATTCAAATGTCCTGGGTTTAGTTCTCACATCTTGCTTAACATTAACCCAGATCCAGGCTGGCTTGCAGAGCGACTGTGAAAATGGAATTTTGGCTGCAGTTTTCTAACCATAGAATGAAACTTTCCTATTTTATCATTTCAGGAGCAGACATTGTGCTCAAGAAAATGGAATGAACATGAGACTCAAATCCATGTCCATTTGTTTTTATTATCAAGAGAACAAGAAAGTGTTCTTGATTTTTAAAAAAATATGCTTTCTTAACCATCCAGATGTAGGGGACAGGGCCAAATACATTATTTGATATCATTTGGGTGTTCCAAGTCCACAGATGTGTCTAGTTTGGAAACTATTGATACAAGTTTTCTCTTTAAGAAAATAAATCTCATCTTGAAACTCTTTAAGCCTGGAAAAAAATAATTCAGAGGGAAAGAAATTTTTCTTGAATTAAATTCAACTAAGTTTAATCATTTAAAGGAAAACATGTTTTACTTCTGCCTAAATAGAGCCTAGTCATGTGATTCATAGTTTAAATATATCCACAGCTCCCTGTGTTCACCTCCCAGGGCAACTGATTTTTTTCAAGCCTCTTTTGATTCTAGGCTGGTTTCCCTAGACTTGGTTGGTTAGGTCTACTTCAGTGGGAATAGTGCCAAAGCCTGTGCTCTTTCCACTCTTGAGAGTACATTTAAAATCAGTTACATTTATAGACCTGGCTTCTGTCAAATAGGCTAAAAATCCAGATTGGTTTTTATTACAACATCCCATAATAAGCAAACAACCTAAGCTTTTCCCACATGACTAATGCCTCCAAGATCATCTGTAGAGATAAACAAAAATCTTTGTCCCAGAGAGTTAGAAAAGTTCAAAGTCTCTTGGAGAATGGCAGATGAGGTCTAATCCCTCGTACCAGGGAAAGATCCTGACTTGACAGTGAAAGGTCTCCTTTACACAGTGATTGAGTAGCAGTTACTGGTGATGGTGGGTGGAAGATGAAGCCCAGTTTGAGAGCTTCCTGCTTAACTCCTGCAAGATGAAAACTGTTTCTTTTGAGTGCTGAGAATGGAACCCAGGGCCTCATTCATGCTAAGCAAGAGGTCTATCTCTACCTCTAAGTTATACATCCTTCCAATGAACAAATGAAACATTGGAAGAAAATTGCAGTTGATGATACTTGCAGTAGGAGACATGTCCCTGAACGGGCCAACCTGGATGGAAGCGGGTTTCTTCCTTATCGAAGCCTGTAGACCAGGATTCCTTGTAATAGGTGGCCAAACCCACCACCTTTCAAAAGGGCTCTTCTTCCAGGACCCTCAGATCTACTCACCTTGCTCAGAACCTCTACCTGTGTTCCACCACTCATGACACCTCATAAGCCCTGTCAGAGGAGAGATGTGTAGGGGCTGGTTATTATGAATATGCAGAAAGATAGTATATATGGGCTAGGGGTGTAGCTCAGTGGTATAGAACATATGCGAGGCCCCTGGTTCAGTCCCCCAACCTCAAAAAGAGCATTAGTGTTTACATTCGGCTGACAAAGAGACAGTATTTGAAACAAGAAAGCCATGCTTTTGCTTAAATGCTTAATTAATAAGTAAGTTGAGATAACCCCAGTGCTATTACTTAGTACTGATGCCGTTAAGCAACAGTATCCCACGTAATTTCTCTTGTCTTTCCATAGTGTCCAAGGTTTTGCATTTGGTTTCACCACTGGAAGGGGAAAAAAGGTAAGAGAGAGTGAACACTATTCATTAAAGGCAATTAATGAGTTGCAGAACTCCTTTGCAATATTTACTAGGAAATAAGATACCTTAAGTCCTCAGAGTTGGCAGGTCTAGAGTCTGGTTGATTTGGCCCACTTGTAAACTGTTCTTGTAAACAGTTCTGACCATACATAGTCAAAAAGGGTGACTCTACTCCTTTTAAATGAAAGGAAGAAACTAGAACTTATGCACTTTCCATTACTCGACTAATTCATATTACTTAGACATCTTTGGGCTTCTGGCTCAAAACATCAGATCTGGTGCAGAGTTTACTTCCCTTGTTACTTGGGACCTGGGTGAAATTCAGACAAAAGTAAAAGGGGCTCACCTCTGTAATCCCAGCAGCTTGGGAGGCTGAGACAGAAGGATTCAGTTCAGAACCAGCCTTAGCAACTTAGCAAGGCCTTAAGCGACTCAGTGAGACTCGGCCTCTAAATAAAATACAAAATGCAGATGGGGATGTTGCTCAGTGCTTAAGTGCCTCTGGGCTCAATATCTGATACCAATAAATAAATAAATAATATATATAAAAATGGGGTAGAGGAAGACATGTGAGGGGCAAAGGCAATCATAATGAGCGATCCCACCACATTTCTGGACCATGAAGAAGTGAGAGTAGAGCATTGCTAAAGAACACATGCAGAGAAATTGCAGCTTACAGTATATGTCAGGAGGCAGAGAGGAAGTGGGGACAGAGGAAGGGACCAGACAGGAAGGTCTTTACATGGAACAAGAATGTCCCTTCCCCCACCCACCCCATTCATGTTTACAGAAAAAGAGCCAGGGGCTGGGGATGTGGCTCAAGTGGTAGCGCGCTCGCCTGGCATGGGTGCGGCAGGGGTTCGATCCTCAGCACCACATACAAACAGAGATGTTGTGTCCGTTAAAAACTAAAAAAAAAAAAAATATTTAAAAATTCTCTCTCTCTCTCTCTCTTTAAAAAAAAAGAAAAGAAAAAGAGCCAGGTAGCCTGTGTGATTTGATTTTCCTTTGTTGATGTACATATGACTGATTCATATTCATTCTCTCTCTCTCTCTCTCTCTCTCTCTCTCTCTCTCTCTCTCTCTCTGGCCCAGGACAAAACCTAGGACCTTGCAAATGCTAGGCAAGAACTAAACCCCTGACCCCTACATAAGGCTCTTCTGCTGGGTTCTGCTGGGTTTCTCTAGGGTAGGATTCAGATGGGAGCTGGGGGTGGAGATGGAGGTTGTGACTCATTGATGGGCAGGTTTGGGTCCTGCAGGCAGGAAGCTAGCCTATGTGAGGTTCAAGGTTCGCCATGAGCTAGGAGGCTGCTACCACTGTCCCTTCTTCTGTGCTGTGGATGTGGCGGATGACAGATCTCTGGACAGGACAAGGACTGTCCCCATCCAGGACAGTATCTGCAGTTGCTGGCCTCCCTGATGCAGCTCCCGTTTTGCAGATCTGCTGCATAAAGAGATCTCCTAACCTGACTCACCTTTCCTGAGAGGGATCCCTACTTTGGAGCAGGAGATTTGGAGGTCTCTCTGGACGTGTTAGGATGATCATCCTGAGGAAATTGTGTAGGGGAGGCTAGAGGGGGGTGGTGGAGAGGGAAAACAGGCCTGTGTAAACTTGGCCATTCACATGGAATATGAATCACAGAAGTTAGCATTGCAGTGCCGCTGGCTACAGAGAATGAGTGACAAACTTTAAACGTCCCACTTGAGGCTCAGACACCCCCACGGTGAATGGCAGCTTCTTCAGTGTGAAAGTTGCCCTTTGGGAAGGTTATATCTGCACACGACCAGCCATGGCCTCAGAGAGCTCCAGAGGTTTAAATTCCTACTCCCCATTAGTAATCTGAGACTTGACTAGTCAATTAAGCAGCTCAAAGGAATAGAGGTCTCTAGTTCAAGCTCAGGTTAAATATTAAAAGGGTCTCCTGGCTCTTTAACTTGTAGCTTGCTAACTTGTTAAATGGAGCTGAAGTCTGCCGCTCAGAGGGATTACTGATTGATGCTGGGCACACTGGACAAGCCTCCTGGCTGGCAGGATCACTGTCCTGGGATTGCGGCTTCCTTCCACCAAGTGATTGCCTCCAACCTGCTGACTCCTCCTGCAAGGCTGCCCGGCCCTGCCGGATCCTCGACAGACCCTGGCTCTTTAACGGAGCCGCACAACAACCCAAGAAGGTGGGCATTATCTTCTTCCAGTTCATGGAGGACAGAAGGAAGTCCCAGAAGAGCAGGAGCTTGCTGAGATCTGGGCCAGTGCTCCACCACAGAGCCACCCCCAGCCCCTGCCTGAGGTCTCGATGCTCGTCAGTAGACGCGGGGCTTGAACTCAATTCTGAGTGGTCCTCCTGGTCTTCCCATTACGCTAGCTGTTATGGTTTGGACCTGGAGTGTCCCCCCCAAGGCTCGTGGTCCCCAGTGCAGCAGTGTTCAGAGGTGGGCTTTGGATCAGGAGGACTCTGAGCTTCTCAGTGGACTAACCCATTGGTCCCCAGCTAATGGAATCAGGGGACGGTGAAGCCTAGTTGGAAGAAGTCACCAGAGGTGTGCCCTGGAAGAATTTACCTTGTCCCTAGCCCCTTCCCTTTCTCTGCTTCCTGACTATCATATCTGAGAGTCTATACCCTCCCACCATGATGTCCCCAAAGTAATGGACAGACAACCATGGACTGACACCTCTGAAATCATGAGCCAAAAGAGATCTTTCCATTAAGCTGTTTGTGTTAGTCATTTGTGTCCTAGGGATGAAACGCTGACCAACACACTAGCTATACCCAAATAAATGGGTAACCTAGCAGAATAGATGTGCTAGGCCTGCGTATAAAGAGCCACCACTGGTACCCAGGTCCACCATGTAGATAGGGTGGATAGACTGGGTAGAAACTCTTCTTACAAGCTTACAAGTAGACAGGATGACCATCCATTTCTGTTTACTCAGGACTCAGGGTGTTCCCAGGTTACAGGACTTTCAACCAGATTAGTGGGTCACCCTCCATGTCAGGGTGTGCAGAGTTTTCACTGACCAAGGAGTAGGTAGAGGCTGCCAGGCAGCTACGCTCCCTTCATCAAGCTTTGCTTATAAAGCAGGGCTGCATCCCTCGAATAGAAAGTAGAGTGTGGACTAGCGAAGGCCCTACTAGTTCCTTTGGCATGATCATCCCAGAAATTCAAGTAATTCAATGTTTAGGGTAATGGCTTCATTTAAAAACCAACTTTTTTTTTTTTTAACCCTCTCTTTCTAGGGAATTTCTCCCACTTTCTACAAACACACGTGTGCACATGCACACACGCATGCACACACACTCAAAAGGCTCAAAGTGCACGTTCTTAATCATGTACTATGAACTGCTCTGGTCACAGAAGGGAAAGGAAGCTGGAGAAATAGGCAGGTCCAGGTGCTGTGTCTGATAGCGCTGAGAGCTGCTCTCCCTGCGTTTCCTCCTGGATGCCCAGTAGGGAGGCACTTCCCTCTATGGTCCTGGACAGTCTCTGGCCTTTCACTGTGGACAGAAATGACTGGAGCATTCAATTCTAGTGAAGCGCCTCCACAGCTTCCCTCTGCTGCAGTGAGGTACTGTTTGAAATGGTGGCAGCTCTGCCAACCAGGGTCCACAGTGGGCATCTTGGGCAGACCCCTTTGCTACCTGATTATGATGGTGTAGACTGGGTAGAAGCTCTTACAAGCTCACTCTCCCCGGGCTTTTTCCTTACAGTGGCACCACCTAGCCTGTGACCAAGGCTCGGTTTACTTGAGACTCCTAGTAATGAATTTGTACTTGCTCCTGGAACATGTAGACCCCTGGAGAGGAATGAGGTCCACTCTGCAGTTCCCAGAGCCACCTGCTGTAACTCACTGGGGTTTTAAACATGAGTAAGCTCAGTAATAGGCTTAGTCTTAAATATGTTCTTAGAAACTAAGATTTTAAACATGGTGATTATAATTCTTCAGGGAAAGATACTTTAATGATAGTCCCTTGACATCTCTCTGGGTAATAAAAGAAGCAGATTTATTTTCCTACATTTCCTAAAATGTTATCATTTCTAGTTGGTGATTTGGGGCTTTCTCAGCTGGCCCGTGGTTCTGTCTAGTCCTGTGGCCTGCCTGACTAGAAAGTAAATCCACACGACACCGGGACTGCACTCATGACCCCGTGGAGCTGGGAAGGAGTGGGTGACCTGGTAAAGAGGAGCATGGGGAGGAGAGAGGCCACTGAGGTGGAGGGAGGGCAGGGAGGTGACCGTGCAGGCAGGGGTGAACCATCCCTTGTGGCCTGAAACGGCCATCCAGGCACACAAATCGACCTCTTCCCATCCCCAAGAGAGTTGGGTTTTTTCGCTCATAATCTGATCTCTATAAATAACCACGATGTCATGTTAATCTTTAGTGGACGTTTCTTCCTTCTGCATGCGCATGAGGTGCATTATAAGCTGACTGTTTGTATTCCTCCAAAACCCACACACTGAAGCCTGCCCTCCACCGCAGATATGTCAAGAAATGGGCCTTTGGAAGTTATTAGGTGGTGGGGGTGGCCTTCGTGAGAGGTCCGTGTCCTTGTAAGAGGAGACAGGAGCACTGCCTTCGCTGCCCTCTCCACCAGTGAGGACATAGCAAGGAGAAGCTGGCTGCAAACCTGGAGGTAGACCCTCCCCCTCCCCCAGACCTGCCACCACCTCAATCTTGGGTTTCCCGGCCTCCGGGACTGTGAAGAATCCGAACATGTGAAGTCACGCGGTTATGGAGTTTTGTTACAGTAGCCCAACCCAAGACAGCGTGTTTAAGAGAATGGGGATGTTTAGACCTGAAAGCAGAGTTTGTAGTCCAGGACTAGCAACTGACAGCCAGCAGGTCAAATTCAGGACCGAATGTTTTTGTGAAGAAGGTTTTACTGAAACACAGCCATGCCTGCTTATTTGCATGGTGTCCCTGGCTGATTTACATCACCGCGGCCRTCCAGTAGTTGCTTCAGATACTGGATGTTTCACAAAGCCTAAAATATCCACCATCTCGTCCTGTGCACGAAGAGTGTGTCAGGGCTGGGGATGTGGCTCAGTGGTAGAGCACTTGCCTAGCATGTACAAGTCCCCCAGGTTTAGTCCCCAACACCAAAAGTGTCACACTGCCCTATAAGTTTCATCCATGTGTTTCTCTTCTTTTCTTTGGAGATGGGGTCTCTCTGTGCTGTTGAACTCCTGGACTCCAGCAATCCTCCTGGTTCAGCCTCTCAAGTAGCTGGGACTACAGGTGTGCACCACCTCACCAGCTGGTTTCACCTAGGAATTCCAGGTCTCATGGTTTATTCATGAAAGAGAAGGAAGTTAATATTAACCTCCTATGATTTTTAGTAACTTATTTCTGCCTTGATACCTAACTCAGCATTCTCACCTGGAGCCCAGACAGGAGAGGTTGCTGAGCTATGAAGCCCAAAGTCAAAGGCTCTTGTAAATAAATTAGCCCTCCTGAAGTTTAAACACTTTTTTTTTGGGTCACAACCAGAAACCAGACCTGAAAGTCATCTCATCTCCTGTTTCTCCTTTAGTTCCCTTTTTCCATAACATAAAAAGTTAAAAAGCATTTCCCCTCCTTTGTTCTTTCTCTTACTCAGACACAAATAAAAGGAGAAAATCTTTTAGATTTCCAGTTTTGAAAGTGTCAACACTAGAAATCTACTGAGTTAATTTTAATTCACTCAAGAATACTTACCCAAGTCAGGCATGGCACAGGCCTGTAATCCCAGCAACTCGGGAGGCTAAGGCAGGAGAACAGCAAGTTTGAGGCCAACCTCAGCAATTTATGAATACTGACTCAAAATAAAGGGTTGTGGATGTAGTTCAGTGGTAAAGCACCTCTGGGTTCAATTCCTAGTACCCAAAACAAACAAAAAAAATAATAACTTACCCAAATATATTTTGATTATTTAAACTGAAAGTAAACTTTCACCAAAATGAAATTAGCAGAATAGAAATACAATCTCTTTGAACAAATGCACACTCCACACATATTCAATTCGATTCAGCTCTGCAGACTTTTGTAAAGCACCTACCATTGGGTAAATCTGGGGACTATAGGCCTGAATAACTTCAAAGTGCACAGGGCCAGTGGGAGATGCAAGTAGGTTAAATAGTAAAAGAGCAATGTGAAGTGGGAGTTACCAAACACAGGAGGAGAATGAACTGAGTTCGTAAATGTGGGGAGGCTCAGAAAACATCTCAGAAAAAGCTTCAGAGCTGAGCTTTACAAGAGGAGCAGGGCGGGGTGTAGCTGAGTGGTAGAGCTCTGGACCAGCAAGTTCAAGTCCCTGGGCTCCATCCCCAAGATCACAGAAAATAAAAGAAAATAGGAGCAGAAGCAGGAAAGTCTCCAAGCAGAGGGAAGGAGGAGAAAAGTGTGGGGTAAAGACCCGAGACTTTGGGGGGGCCTGGTGTGCCCAGTGAGGGCAGAAAGTGAGAGACGGCCTTGTTCTCCAAACGCCCAAGTGACTTTGGTGACACTTTCAAAGTAGGTGCTCCTGTCCCCAAAGAAATCTCTGTCCCAGGAAGTTGGAGAATATCATGGTAAGCGAAGCAAAACAACCCCCCAAAACCAAAGGCCAATGTTCTCTCTGAGAAGTGGGTGCTGATCCCTAAGGGGGAGGGCATGGGAAAAACGGAGGAACTGTGATGGGCAAGGGGGGATGGGGAGATGCATGGGGGCAGGAAAGATGGTGGGAGGAGGTGGACATCATTACCCTAGGTACATGGATGACTGCACATGTGGTGTGACACTCCATCACGTACAATCAGAGAAATGAAAAGTTGTGCTGCAATTGGGCACAATGAATCAAAATGCATTCTGCTGTCATATATATATATACACCTAATTAGAATTAATTAATTTATTTATTTAAAAATAAAAATAGATATGAAAATTCACCTATTAAATAAATGTAACAACTTGGTTACTCATTAAAAAAAAAAGAATGTGAAGAGACAGCTTACAGAATGAAAAAGATGTTTATCACACACACCTCAGATAGAGCACTGACATCCAGGATATATAAAGAACTCAAAAAATTAACACCAAAAAAACAAATAACCCAATCAATAAAAGGACTTAAAAGGGTTAGGGTTAGGGTTAGGGTTAGGGCTAGGGTTAGGGTTAGGGTTAGGGTTAGGGTTAGGGTTAGGGTTAGGGTCAGGGTTAGGGTTAGGGTTAGGGTTAGGCAAAGGAACTGAACAGACACTTCACAGAAGAAGAAAAATGACCGGTCAACAAACATATGAAAAAATGTTCAGTGTCTCTAGCAACTAGAGAAATGCAAATTAAACCAAACCTACACTGAGATTTCATCTCACTCCAGTCAGAATGGCAATTATCAAGAAGAGAAGTACCCATAAATTTTGGCAAGGATGAGGGGGGAAATGCACACTCATACATTGCTGGTGGGACTGTACATTGGTGCAACCACTATGGAAAGTCATATGGAGATTCCTAAGAAAACTTGGAATGGAACCACCATTTGACCCAGTCATCCCACTCCTATAGTCAAAGGACTTAAAAATCAGCATACTATAGTGACACAGCCACATCAATGTTTATAGCAGCTCAATTCACAATAGCTGAACTATGGAACTAACATTGGTGCCCTTCAACAGATGAATGGATAAACAAACTATGGAATATTATTCAGCCTTAAAGAAGAATG